AAACGCCTGCCATTTGAAATAAATAAATAAATTTTGTTCAAAACATTTACTCTATAATGTATCACGACATTCTTGTGTCATCAATTACTGCCAAATAGGTTAGTGATGGTTCATAGGGGTTTAAGGCAATTTGAGTTACATCTTTTCGAATTTGAGCATCATGAAATTATATCCAGTCTTAACAGGTTTGCAAGTCAATAATCGGTTGAGTTTTTAATTTAATGATGCGGAGAAGACAACAGATCATTTTTTTCCACGGTGAAATTAACTACTGGCAAATACCAGAGAATTGGATCCGAATTACGCCTCATAATTATGACAATTCTGACTCACGTTCACATACTGTTGGCTAAACACAATTGCGACATTTAAGGTCTGTTGTTTACTTGAATCCATCATAAAAGTACTCATTAAGCAAATAAGCTTAATTACGGGACGAATACATGAGATTCGACGGTAATTTTAAGTAGAACGATAAAAGATTAATCAGCATTAAATTGTTGAAATCCAATATTTACACTTTATACAGTGCATTGTAAAGAATTTTCTGTTAAAAGCGCATCGAAAAATTTTTAAGTCTTCACCTATGTGACAGTATATTCTAACCTTATCAATCCATAATACGTAAGTAGGATTAACTTTTAACATTGAAATTTGGTTAATCACAATTAAAATTAGAGGTCGATTATGGTTGTTAAGATAGTAATTGTAAAGCATTTTTATGGTTTTCTTTTCATTTATCATTTACTCTTCTATACAGGAGGAAAGACGAAGAGTTACCTCACCAAAATCCTTCACTTTTAAAGCTGCTAGTTGTAGTTCAAGCAAAAGTGAAGGAATTATTGAAGGAAAGGCAATTCGATTAGAATGGTACAATTCTAAAAGTTATTTTTAAAGGTGGGGTGCGTGATGGACTTATCTCCATGTGGTGCGTCCTGAGCAACATGTACTCATACAGCAAAAGGTCTATAAATCGGTAGTTGACTTCAAACTACCATGACCCCACTCTATGTCATATTCCACGATTTTCACAATACTCAACTTACCTTTTCTCTACCTTTGTGTCCATCGGCTCTTTAACATTTGTGAATCACTCTTTTGTACCCCCCCCCCCCTTCTAGAATTTTTGTGATTTTGTCTATTCCTCCCCTCTGTGAAGCCTGCCATTTGGTATAAATAAATAAACATCTAAAGGCTATCGTACTCACTTCAAATATAAGCATTCTTCCTACAAAATTATATGAGGGCGTGAAATCGTGGTCTTTTATATACTTAGTGTTTGAATTAATACTCTGATATTAAAAAATTTAATTCAAATTCTAATGGTATAAGACATCTTACATTCAGAACTCAGATCCTCTCTTAATTCTCGTTTTATTTAGAGATGACCTAAGTTCTTGAAACAATAATGGTAGATAATAATTACCAATTTTTCTGTTAGCAAACTTGATATTTCATTTCATATTATCTTCCCATTATCAATAAATATAACCATTAATCCATTAACTGCAGATGTTAACGGCTGATAATTCAAGTGGGCCTGTAGTAGGTTTTGTTTATATCAACTAAAACTTGTCCTTTTTTTCTTGCCTGTCGCATTTGGAAACTTTCATAAAATTTTTATTCTGAAATTATCGATTAAAGCACTGGGAAGTGATCCTGGCACTCCTCTGATTGATAAACTCTCTTTTGATCAATTTTAACCAGTGCTTTTTTGACGAATTTGGTGTCTCAGTGATTCTCCTGATAGTGTTCGTGAAATTAAGAAAAATACAGATTGTGAGATAAAAAATGTATGAAAAATCAACATTTTTCTCCGAACCACCATATATTGGTGAGCTGTTTACAAAAAAACGTAGAAGACCCTAGGTAATGCGTTTGGCTAGATCACATCTACTATTAGAGTTTAACTTAGAATTATTCAGATAGTCAAAGAGGACACACATGATGATGGGTGAAAGTAAAAATTAAATTGTCGTGTCTAGAAGGTTTGTCTGTCATATTAGTTGTTGAGAAACCCACGTGGAAATGCTCTGATAAATCTATGACTATGACATCTTAAGTAAGATACCGTTGTAAGGCCAAAGAAGGTCAAATGGTGGAAATTTGTGCAATAGTCTTGATATGTAACATTATCTATTTTAGGTGAGTGCTCTCAACCCTTTTCCCTTGTGCAAATGACCATTGTCCTCTCCCCCCCCCCCCCCCCCCCCAAGAGAATCGATCGCCCATGCTGTCAGGAGACGAATTTTTTATTTCCAAAGTCTTAAATTAGACGAAATTGTCATATTTAATACATATTCATTCAATCTAATAGCAACCTCTGAGTCAAAGCATGCTCAATTATGAAATTAAAAGGAGTCAAGTGCCCAAGATGTTGGAAAGAAGTGAACAATTTTTTCCCATAGCCAGTGTTGGTAGGTAGACTGATAAACTAAAATAGGACTCTGTGGCTAAAATACTCTTGCACCATCCATAAAGCAAAAGCTCTACCACTTATAATAGACCAGTGTAGTGTGCACTACCAACCTGTATACAAACAACTTTGTACGTGAGGCGCCCACCATGGGATTATTAGTAAAGCGAGAGAGAATTTGATTGGTCTAAGACAAGGTCATATAAAATCCACATGATCGGCGGAGCCCACATTTTGCATTTTCCTTTTCTAAATCAAACATCAGGTATTATAAAATTAGAAGTAGTCTTGACAAAACAATGACGAAACAGTCCCGAAAAAGTTATCGGACAAATAGTCGATAAATTATTTTAAAGGGCACCTTAGACAAAAGTGTTAGAGAAATGTGCTCAAAGTAAATATCTTTCTTATACACTTAAATGGACGTAATGGGAAAATCTCACATTTTTATGACCAAATATTTGGAATGTGCACATTATTGGAGTAAGTAATAACGTTCATCGAAATAATAACGAAAAAAATGCTTGAAAATTATTTAATTTACTCCCTACTATTTCTGATATCCGCTCTCAATTGTATAAAAATCTCAGAACAAATCTTACTTTTTATTAAGATTTTTTCCCGATATCCGGCGTGTTTTTAAAAACGCATTCTCTACATAAACCCCTATTAGAAATTTCAATGATGGAAAAACTGAATGGAGCATTTGCTACTGAAAGGGAGTGGGGATATAAGACGATGAACTGGATAAAATCAAAATTTTGAAACAAACGTAAACAGGAATGGAGGAGTTAATTTGGCAGAAAATTATCGACAGTAAATGGCAGATTACATGAAGCAATTGACCCTTATATTTGGGGGGGGGGGTTACCGGTTATCTATGATTGGGGACATTCACTGAAGAAAGGCAAACTTACACTCCTTGAACTTTGAACTTTGGTTTGCTGATCAAATTAAAAATTTCCTACTTGTGTAAATAACTGAATGTACTCTTTAAAGTGGAGCTGGGTTATACTAGATTTTATTGCTGTGCTTATTTCAACAACAAAATAAACATGGAAAAACTCTTGTTTCTCTTCAGAAAGTTTTTACAGACAAGAAATGGAATTTATTATTTCACCTCATAACAAGAAGGTGAAATTGGTGCAACTACCTAACTACGTTAGCTCGAACAGTTGCGTTCGAAACTGTTAGCAAATGCCGAACATTTGACCTCTGGTAAATTATAAGTGAAAAGTGAGTCCAGAAAAACTTTTTTCCCGAAAGCGAGTGAACTTTGAGAATACCAAATATTAAAGATGAGCCTTGTGAAAAAAGATATCAGCCACAGCAAGAAATCGAGAGAGAGAGGGAGAGAGAGAGGTTTTTCGACTTAAAATCACCAGAACTTAGTCTCAGCCATTTTCCAACTTATCATGCACTTTTATATCCATTTTAATAAAAATACCAATTCTAGTATGGACGTTAATAGTAAAATATCTTTTTTCCCCATTTTCGCCCATGAAATCTAATCTGAATGCGCGAAATTGCAAAGCATTCCAGTGTGAATAAAATGAGGTTGATGGTTGTGGGGGAAGGGGAGGGGGTGGGAATGGGTAAGGCGTTGTGGTCTCGAAAAGAAAAAATTTCAATGAATTTGGAATGTTAAGAGACCTACTTCATTTGAATTCCATCTTCGTAAAATGCTAATGTTACAGAGCTCAATTTACGCTAATTGATTGCCAGCCTTATCCATGAGTTTATGTCTTAGAAAACCAGCGCTTGTTAACCAGATAACAACATGTCAGCCTCCTTTGATTCACTCGCGCCTCATTCCAGTGCGTTTTCCGTATTTTTATCGATAAATCGATTTTTTCCATTCAAAAGGACTAAATATTCGTTCTAATGTACTATTTAGAAACGAAGATGGCCATAGCCGGTGTGTAATAAAGGCAACTATATTATTTTAAACCGAAACGTCCAAGCTAGATTTGATAAATCCATCAGGGGGTCTGTGAACTCAGCACAAGAAAAAAAGCATGTAAATTGTAATAGAAAAAAATACTTTATTAAATTTCATTATTTCATTTCATAGGTAAACGAAGCATATAATATGGGTAGTAAGAAAATCCCTGTCGACTGAGTTCGTCACCTCTTTCGTAAACGAATATGGAGATGTTGATGAAGATGATAATGACGATGACGTCGATGATAGTAATAAAAAGAATAGAGCAATATTTGTCTTTGATGATGCTACACGGTGACTTGAATGCATATTTAAGTTAGGAGAAGTTAAGAGAAGGTCAAGAGGGGGGGGGAGAGAGGGGGAGAGGGTGAGAGGGAGCATACAGAGAATAATTTGGTCACAAAATCTAGTGTGTCTTTGTTTCAACTTCTTGCACTTGGCATCAAGACCCTGTAATAAGATTAAAATGAGGTAAGAAAAGGCTGTCACAGCAAGTGAAGCGAAAGTATGGAGACGGAAGAGAACAAATGAATGATTATGTTGAAAAGTCGATAGGCTCTGAGCGAAATTGATGAGTATAGTCAATCAAATTCACTGCTAAATGCTCAATTAAGAATGAAAGCAGGAGATAGAGAATATCTACTGCAAACAACAAGAAATGTTCTTATTTACTACCCGGGAAGAAGGTTCAAGGGGGAGAAGATTTTCCTGAAGATCAGAAGTGGAGGATTTTTTTTGGGAGTAATATGGGAGTACTTCGGTATCATTTACACCTTCCTCTATTACCACATATACATCAAAGACGAGAGGATTTCTCTTTCCCGCATAACCACTTCTACTTCCTGCTGCGGTCTCACTACCAAAAACGCTGAGAGTAGGATCTACTACCAGGTCACCATCGCCTGATCGTTGAGCAGCTACAGAGCTGGGAGTTGGCTGAATTCGACTAAACTCTCGCCCGCCATAATACGCAGATAGTTGTACTGGACCTTCCGTGAAGGAATGAGCGCTGAGGAGGAGAGATAATCGACCAAGAATGCTGGATAGCCGTCGCCTCCAACGTCGTGGTCTAACACCGATGTCATTAAATCGAGGAATGCGAGGTGGAAGAGTAGTAACACCTCCAGGTACACCAAGGATTCCATCGTGTTCTGCAACTTTGGAAGGCGCAGAAGTACCGACAAAAAGATCCTGAGTTCTCTTTTCCCCACCACTCCCTCCATGGTTTCCACCTATTCCCCCTACACTGGAGAATGTGGAGGAGTAGGCTTTCCGCCGATGAGAAAGTGAGTAATAGGGCATCACTCGAGGATAAGTGGAAGTGAGTTGGACTGCAGCATTGCTGAATACTACCCCCCGACGCCAAGTCACCCCATAACCGGTAAAATCGTGACCACAAAGATGAAGATAAGGTCTAAAAACAAAAATGGATAAAATGGATGACCTACTGGTAGGAGATAAGCGAAAGAAAAGAACATTATCAAACAAGTGTGCAATGAAAATTAAGCCGGTGAAGCGGGTAGATCACGTGATAAAGCTTGTGAGTAGCATAGACGCACCGACGCGCAAATATGTATACGACAGAGGGATAAAGCCGAAATGCAAAGAGCGAATGACTTTTGGCTGGGTAAAAAGAGGCAGAAAGGGGAAAGCAAGATGGAGGAGGAGCAACAATGGGTGTTTTGGGACTGCGTCGACTAGTCATCACGTGATCGTCGTGCGTGGTGTAGAGCTTTAATATCACTAGCAACCTTGAGTGAAGTCTGGACTCTCGTGAGGTTTGGTATTCACCCTACTTTCCTCTATAATCTGGGAAATAGTTTAAACGATTTTCAGATGTGAACAGTTTGCTATCATATATAAACAAAAAGTCGAATTGACCTTGAAGTACCCAATCACAACTCAGGTTCATTTTCTCGTAACTAACTGCAATATGCTACTTAGATAACGATACGAAACGGGTCTCTCAAAAAGATCAATGAAGCCAAAAAATTCTCAAATTTTCAATTTATTTAAACTCGGGCTCTTAAACAATATTTTAGTATTTAAAGCAGAGGTGTAAAAAAGTGACGTAACGCTGTTGTAATAGTACTATCGAGTTTTTGAAATGTGGTGGATTACAAAACACTCCTAATGTGACGCGGTAAATCATGAGCAAACGATACACAAAGATTATAAAACCGAACTGTGAGTAAAATCAAGGAAATTAGAGCAAAACGCCTAATTCATCCTCAAATTTATCACCGGTACCGGTTTATTAAATTAATCAAGTAGACTTGCAATTTGTAGGCAAATAGATAAGTAAGGTGAAACGTATAAACCACAAAAATTCAATCGAATTAATTTGGATTTCACCTTTTCCGTGGCTTCAAATATGAATGGCATTTATTCATCCACTTATCTGAAGATAAAACTGTTGGTTTTCTTACCTGAAAGGATGCGAGAAAATAGTAAAAAAGAATTCTATGCCATTTGTGGGAAAACCTGTATTTTCTGAATAAAAACATAAATAGCTATTTAAACCAGGTGTGAGGTCTTTGCCATGCATGATACTAATAGTTTACTAGGAAAATGATTGAACAAAATAATGATATATATATATATATATTTTACTTTGCAAAAATGATTCAATGAATGTTGAACGAGATGGAGCAATCAACTCCGACTGAAATTTGCATATTTATTGGCTGTTCATCTGCTATAACCCCCCCCCATTTAAAGTGTGGGTAAAGACTGAGCAAAAAGATCCTGACTAAACTCCAGAAACTCAATCTCCTGAAGATCCGAATATTCTAATGTAGCTCTAACGGATAAGTATGCCCTTGTTAGATTCGTATTTTCAATAAATACATTTGTAATGATAGTCATATTGGACTTTCTCAAGTAGCCTAACATCTTTAAATCAAATTTTCAAATTTCAAATTTCAACAGCTTTTATCTCTCCCCCCCTGCCTCAATTGTCCCTTATTGGAAAATTAAGCCTAGGTGGGCGTACCTTTACCGAACTTCCGAAACCATTCCAATGAGCATAATAGTTTTCATAGATAATTGACAACAATGCACACAATTAGTCATGCAAAATGTCAAATGATAGACAATCCACATGGCTTGGAAAAATTCCTAAGCATAAAATGCGGAGAAGGAATCTTCATCACCATTTTTGTTCTCTCAGTATCATTGGATGAAAAAAGGTACGGAAATTATGCTTAATTTCATCAATGCCCTTTGCCCACATATGAAAATGACATGTTTTCGGTCAAAGTCATTCAAAGTCGCTTAGAGTACAAAGCAAGGAAAAATCACGCAAACTGATTTTCAAAAAAGGAGGCAGGTTAGATCACGAGTCCTATATGGTGGTTAAGTGGGAGGGTTTGGATCACAGATAAATCGTTGTAATCTTTCTAGGAAAAAAACTAAAAATAGCACACAGAAAATAACCAGGTTGACAAAAACGAATAAAAGGATAATATCACACAAATAAAAAAGCCTAGTCAGTAGATTTCTTCAATATCAACTATGGATATATTTATACTTTCCTCACCAAAATGCTTCGAACTAAAATTGTATTTATTTGCTTACGACTTAATAGACAACTTTTATTAGTGTAAAACATGCACTCTGGAAGGAATCGAAAATCGACTATCTAACACGCGCGTACCTTCACGCATTGTGCAGTGAGTTACTTCAGACAACAACATCGATAATCAATAAAGTCGAAGCAAATGAAAAGACCGTAAACTGCCAGGAAATCGGCTGATTCATTTGTGATTCGTAATTCATGTTTAAAATGAATTAACGAAGCAGGAGAAAGGTGCTCAACAAATACGCTATTCTGACCCATTTTCGGACAAACTTTTTTCTTTCCCATTACGCAGAAAGAGTTTGCTCACATCGAAATAATAGTCACATGACCCATTAAAATCCCCCTTGGAGTGTGACCTAATGGAATTAGGTAGATTGGCATTGCTCATTTTATGAAACTCCCCTATTCTAAAAGAATATGAGAAACTGCTACTATTACATGATAATTTTTCTCACACCCACAGCCTTATGTAATTGATGATACGCAGAAAACCAATATTATTGGGTTAACTCGATGACTGAAATTAGATATCAAACTAATAATTGAATTGCCTAATCCGAATAGAGCCATGGCCTGGTAAGAGTTTGAGATTAAAAATAAACAATTTTATAAGAAACAATCCATGATTGTAAAGCCCTTCAAATGGGTAAATATAAGGATAGTCGCGCGATAATAATGAACCTAATGGCAAGATTTAAGAAAAGCGCATTTCCACAAAATTATGATCCATTGCCTCAATACAGGATGGAGAGCTCAGCGAGGGAGAAAAGTAGATCAGATCAAATGACTACCTACCCGGTCATGTGAAGGCAGTAGTAAAACAGAGTTTAACTAAATATAATTAAAGTTAGTTAGTGAATTGCCATAAATTAGGGGACAAAGCTAAAAACATACATTTAATGATGAAACCAATGATAAACAGAGCATATTTTTTGTTTACGCATCTGGATCTGATATTGACTGAAATAATAAGCTTTATTAGATATCCACAAAAAATACCATATTTGTTAAATAAGAAAGCTTATACGCTTTTTATTCCACATAATCTTCTGAGAGACAACTAAAGAGGCAAAAAATAGATTGGATAGGCATCTTTAGCAGACACTGGCAAATGATTAGTAGATCCTGATTTCTATGAAACATGATTCACGCTCAATCCTTGAACTCTACAGATAGAACACTAACGCACACACACACACTCTCTCTCTCTCCTTAAAAGAAATTTATTAGAGATATGCACTGTATTAACAGTAAAAAATAGGAAATTTACTATCAATGTTGAAGTTTCCAATACCTTCATAACCGTTGATACTGCTAAGAGCCAAACCAAGAACTACACATTGACACACGTTACCGTGGGCCCTTATTAACAGTTAAGCATATAAGTTGTGATCTTAAAATGCCTTTTTATGCATAAATCCTACTTATTTCTTAATTTAAACAAATTAATAATAAGTCGGAGTCAATTTCACAAAAATGAATAGACAATTTATCATCGAAGTGTAAGAGTGAATTTAGCTTAATCGTTGGGGCAAATCAGATTCACACCATTTACACTTTGAACAATTAAGCACTTGAAATTTTTTAAGTACGTATATTTATCAAGGTAATTTAATGGAAAGGGGGAGGGAAGGAGGCAGACAAGACATTGATTTCAAAACATCTGCCCAATCAGAATTACATTCCAGGGGGTCTTGTGGGTGTTTAAATCAAAGGAAAATATGCGAGGCGGATTCCAAATTTGTTTTCCTTAACAACAACTTGGGACTTTAATTATTAATGTAAAGTTTATATGCGAATTCGTCTCTTGAACTATTAGTTGATTTTAATCAAAAAAATTTATCCTATCTAAAAATATGAGTAAATGATAACTTGATGATCTAAACATGTCTAACTACCACTTAATAGTATTATTCTGGGGCAGATAGTAATATACTTATTAATAATAATATGATGCCTACCGCAATAATCAAACTTATTTTTTTCAATATAATATGAGGCTTTATTCAGAATATCGACAGAACTCCAAATGTGGCAATTCTGTTAAAGTTTTTTAAAATAAACTCATTAACTTCCCCATTTGGAGTAGATTCAAATTAGATTAAATTGAATGGTTCGCAAATTTATAGAAATTAAAAGTTCAAACTATTCTGAAGACTAATGTGGTCCTCAGTAAGCCGGCTTTATTTTATTACTCCTTAGTCGGCTAATTAAATTTTCGAGGAAATGGTAGAGGTAGTTCAATTAGAATATTACACCAATAATACTACTTTGTGAGAGCTCACAATTTAAATTATTTACATATTCCTAAAGTGTAAAGTAAATACTGAGTAATGCAAATGACAATACAATATTCAAAAAAAGATTTTAACGTCGTAAAAATCGTTCAAGAGGAGGGAAAAATAAACCAAATTTACTCCGCATTTAATTGTACCAGAAATAAAAAAATAAATTAGATTTAGATTTAGATTAGATGTGACCTACAATAAGTCAAACTATACTGTCGACATTAAATTGTATTCACGTATTCACGGTCCTTATATCCCTATGACTCAGACTTGGAAATGTCATGTCTGATTCTACTCGATTTTTTGTAATAATTATTACCCCCTTTCCTACACGCCGTAGGTCTTCACCCGCGTTCTTGTCCAAGTGACTCATATAAATTATGCATTTCCACAAACACATGCACACACACAAACTCGGATTTGTTCGCTCGAGCGCCTCCCTCCTACCAGTCCTCTCTCTCTCTCATCTCATCTCATCTCTCTCATCCGCCACGCACGCTTTATCTTATGCACTTTGGTCTACGTGACTCTGTGTTCCTCCTCTTAGAGACCTTGTTTGTTGTTATTAGTTGATAGAGTCCCCAATAAAACAATTTTTCATAAAATATTGTTCACGTGTCATAAGCAGCCAAAGTCAAGCGACTTGCTTCATTAGCTAAATTCTTTGAATGCATATTTGATGGAAAAAAAACTACGCAAAAAGCCAAACAATCAGAAAAGAAAATGAGGAGTCGGTCTATCGATCGTTTTGGCTATCAAGACAGCACTTTTTTCTCAAGGAAGAATGTACAAATTAATCCTTTAACGTATAAATAATTTTTCTTTGAAAAATGTACAAAGCCGCACCCGCATGCATGCTCAGCAGAATGATTCAGCCGACGAGATGAGTTTTGGTGGTGCTTCAGGCGAACATGTTTCAGGCGGCAATAGCGCCTTCTATTACGAGTCTAGTCCCCTATTTTGAAGGAAGATTGTACGGTAATGAGGACGTTAAATGGTTAAACTACGAATCCAACAGATTTTTGGAAACCCTAAAGATGTAGTAAATTAAAGGTACTCTATCAGTGAGGAGGGGGGGGGGGGGGGGGGGGGGTACGAGATATCTTTCAATTTCTTTTCAATTGAAACTTCGAGGTGTTATTAAGTATTTACAAATGAGTCCAAGTCTCGAACAGGTTGATTTTATTATTCTTTTCAAACCATAAAACTTGACCTCAGCGGAATTCAGGCGGATATCTGGATGGAGCAAAAGAATTTCGAAAATGTGGAAGACCTTGCAATGCATATGAAAACACATTATTATTGCGAATGTCCATGGCTTTCAAGAACTTCGGGTTTCATAAATAAGGATCAACAGTCTGAACTGCACTCTCCAAGTTCGATTACCACATGAGGTCAACTTTTAAGCAAGCGCATTAACCCTGTTAAGTAAAAAGTAGAAGTAGTTAAAATCAACACGACTCAGAAACGTTATACACTCCTTCTCTTTGACCAAGTTAGGCACTATTATTAATATTATTATTTTGCCGGTTAAACGTATTAACCGAAGCTAACTCTTGGGCTATTTTGTGATTCCAAAGAGTGTATGGTAGAGAGGCGCTATAGCACGCGGACCGGATTTGGATGACACAGTGACCAATTCTAACAAAAGAGTGAACAAGTTATGAATGTACTTTTGTAAATAGGTGGTACCAATTTGACGGGTTTAACTTCACCCTCCACAACCTCGCCCCTCCCCACCCCCTCCCGATTCCACCCACCCAAGCACAAAAACTAGTCTGTTTCGTGTTGGTAGACAAATTCGTGCGAATATAAGTGCTGGGAGAGTAAATTTGTTTACTATTCGAGGAAATGTGTAGAAAAAGCGCCATCCTCTTTTTTTCCGACTCGCACATCATAGCATTGCCTCTCGTACGACAGGCAATGTGCAGTTGTCTCAATTTTCCCTTCTTTCTTCCCCCCCCCCCCCCCCCCGCCTGCCGCACCAACAACTTTCCTTCATCGAAAACGCAATTTAGGCAAGGAGATATTGCCGGAACGAAAATAATAATAATCAATTATACATTTGGGGGTATTTTGTGGGGCTGAAAAAATATATTCACCACCATATAATTTGCGTATTTACTGTTTATAATATCAGAATTGGATGCCAGAGGTTATTTCAAAGAATAGATGTCTTATCGCACAAGATAATAAGATAATCGAAGCGCTATAGTAAATTACTGAATTTATTTCTTAGCAATGAAAATCTAAGAGAAAAATATGGAAAAAAACTGTTGAACGTACTCTTTATACACCACATTTGTTTCTTCGAATTGTGCTTGTTGGCATCTGTCTAATCCTATGTTTATAAGATTAACAACACAAAATTATTATGATTTAAATCTCCTGATTTATTTAATGCAAAGTAGTAAGATTGATTGTTTAGGAAATAAACAATAACACAAGAAAATTAGATGGAAAAAGAATAATAACAATGATTATTATTGTTATTATTTTTCTCTCTGACCTCTCAAGTGTTACGTATGGGGAACAAAACGAATCTCACCTGTTCATCATCAGCTTCTCTTTTTTTCAATTAACCCGACTTACAGATGAATAAACATAGGTAAAAAAGAAACAGTTATTCAAACAAAAAAAATTTTCGAAATTTCCTTTAAATGTCCATTAATTTACAAAACAAATGTCAAGAAACTGACACAAAGTGCTGCCAACTACTTAGTAAGGATGATATATTTTTTCCACTACAGTGCTATGGTGCGACTCCTCCTGTGTCGGCGCCATTTTTTTAAAGCATTCGAAGGAGTAATGCGATGAAGACAGAGTGGAGAGATAGGGGTGGGAGAGTAGGATATCGACTTTTCGAAAGCACTGTGAATTGCTTTGTAGATGATGAAAATAGTCACAACGTCGAGTAGGTGCTTCAGCAATTTTTTGCAAGTGTTTTTAATAGGAACTAAGTTTTAAACAGAAGTTGTTTGTTGGTGAACAGTTTTGCGATAAGATGCGAAAGTTATTTATTCCTTTTTTTATAACACCAGTAAAAGATTATAAAAGAGTTTTTCTGACTAATTAGCCTATTTACAAATGTTGTCATTGGTGTTGGAACTTGAAAATCAGACTCTTATATCTAATTACAAATTGTGATAATGTTGTTTAGACTTACTTTCCATGAAAGTCAGACTTGAACCATTTTGTATAAGTGGTCATTTTTTCTCCAATAATGTGGAGAAAATAAAGCATAATTAGATTAATTTTACTCTCTATTCTGTCGTATGGATGAGTAAAATCTGATAAAAGGAAGCGCAGACGCTCAATTCTAAAGCTGGCAATTTGAACCACTAGAATGTCATTTTCTATTGTCTCGTGGCCTCTTAGTATGGAGTAAGTCAACCAAATCAGAGGCTAAAAGGTCGAATCCTGTCAGGTCACATACACTCGCAATGCCAATGAAGAGGTGGCAATAACTTGAGGCTTCAAGGTGCCTTTCCTGGTTACTGGGCTTGGGGTTTAGTGATGCACCGAATTCTCAAATCAAAAGTTTCGCAACATACGAATGGATCTCACGAAACGCCAGTCCAGTGCACTCTACTCGGAATTCCAATGAATTATGCAATTAAATGTCATTACATTGACAGGGTCACGATGAACAGGTCCAATCTCTTTTGCACTTCACCTATACATTAACTGAAAATTAAATTGAAATTTTAGTAAGATTGTCACGTCAAGCATTAACTCTAATCTGACTTAATGAGTACTAACTCCAATTTTAACAAATTGAGACTCTAGCTCTCTTTCATAGACTTCAAGTAAGAAATTGGTTATCAATAATGGGTCTAATCTGTACAACCTAGTCTGCAAGGAACGAAGTAGGAGCTAATCATGGAAAACGTGTGTTGGTGGTGGTAAATGCTGATCTCCAAACAAATGGCATCAGTCAAAGTGATCAAAATAAACACCCATTTAACGGGTGAAGTATGAAATATGCAAGGGTGCAATAGAAATAAGATCTCTTTAGTACAGCATTCTCATAAAAAGCTGGAGAACCGGTGTTAGATGAGAATACTTTAGGTAAAAATTCACACTAACAGTGGTTTGATATAAACAAAGTCAATAAGTCGATGCTATCTATACGTTTGAAAGGAGCAGAATTTATCCAGCAGAAGCAAAGGAATTTAGGAAGAAAATGTAGATGACTGATTAAACGAAATTTAGGGAAAGGCGCCTAATTGCAGCCCTATTTATGCCAACTTAATGTGCCGGATAAAACCAGTCCGATCACATGAGCGTTGTGGAGAAAATTAGCTTTCAGAAACGTCAAATACCAGTCCATTAACGTGCTAGCTTTTAGATATCACGTGATGTTTAGGGATCGTCATATCTCCACCAAAACTGAGAGCAAAGGGAAAGGGGGTGGATTAGAGAAAGTGAAAACATCGAAAGTTGGCTAAGGAAAGGAATCGTACGATTAATAAGCATAGAAACAAACGACCAAGTTGAATAAATTCAGGCCAACTTACTGAATCCGTTCCACCACATGAGTATAGAGTTCTGGACGCCAAGCAGGCATGTGAGAGACGATGATATTGGTATCCGAAGGAACCCTTGAATATTTCTCTTCCACTGCCTTAATATCCGGGAGGATAAACCCATCACAAAGATTCGAAGTCGTACCGGATGAAGCGGCGGAAGTTGTTGAAGATGAACTGGAAGAAGAGGAAGAACAGGAATTTGAAAAAGACGACTCAGATTCACAACCACCAGTTTTCGAGCCACTTATATTGTTGTTATCAGAACTTGGGTAAACATGCCATACTGAAGAACTTTCTTGAGAAATCTCTAACGACCCAGAAAGGCATCGTTGACATTTCGATTGCCGTCGACTCCTGGACCATGATTCAGACGGCCAGAGAAGCCATTGAGGGATGATGGATTTCACCTTGGAGTACCCAATGGAAGACGTAAAGTGAGATTTCCCATCCTCCGGTCGAAGATCATCCGCTGAAGTCCAGGGAATTCCGTAGATTTTAAGACCAAGGATTTCACAAGAGGAATCTTCCAAGTAGATTGCTGAAGGAAGATGCTTTTGAATTTCTTCCGGGGAAGGCCTATCAGGCCCGAGATAATCCCAACATCCAGAAACGAAAATCTTGTATATATGGGGTTGTCGCCGGAAGAACTCATCAATTTCACGCAGCTTCGCTTTCCAGTTGCAGTTTTCGGTACGGGGGGATGTTTCATCCGTCTGTGATTTCCGCAACCGGCCCAATCGATGGGGAGTCCGATTTCGTACAGGGGGACCATCTAGAAAGTCTCCCGAGTGAATCAAAATATGTCCATTGGGCAAGCCATTAGCATAATAGCCTCCCACACCTCTAGTGTCAGATATATGTACGACTCGAACAATTTGGGCCTTTGGGTGTCCGACGTTGCCCACTACATAAACATTGAGATTCTGGTAGTTGAAGAGTGAAGGGGAGGTTTGATTATTTCGGTGATAATTATTAGGGAGAGAGGAAGAATAGGTATATTTTGGTGGGGCAGATTTCATCGTTGAGGTCTTTTTTTCAGGTGTGAATAAACCTTCCCGTTTGAGCACAGACTGTCGACTACGCCGAGCCTTAGCAACAGCGACTGTCGACACATCAGTTGTCGAAGATTGCACTTTAGCCGTCTCTTTTGGAATTGTGACAGAGGCCACCATTGGGTAATTATCATCCGTGTCAGGAACACAGATCATCGACAAACACCCATTACACAAGTAAAAATATAAGTATTAGGCTGCTCTATTGGGAGGCAGTAGTGGTAGAGTCAAGGTCAATAATAATTGAATAAGGGAGGAGAAGGAGGTGGAGGAGGAGGCAGTAAGTTAGTTTAAGCGCGTGAACCGGCCGCTATAGTGTATGGACGCATGTAAACAGCATCACCGCCACACGACCGGCATTTGTCAGCAGCATAGCGCACGAGATGAGTAGCGCTAGATAACTATTGGTTAAAGAGATTGGTGAATTGACCCTGCCAACCAATGAGGGAGAGAACCAATCATAACTAACCAGAGACACGTGACGGACCCGACATTAGCCTGTACGTGTGAATACGAGCCTAGCGCTTGAATTTATGGGTGCGCCGCGCCTATGTGCACGAATGTCTAGAGATGGTAATGGTGTTAGCAAAGACGACACATCACGTGGCCTTTCAGTGCGGGGTGTTGATGTACTTTTGTGTTTGCGTGGGTGGCAGCGCAACTTGCTTTCTCTCTTTCAGTGATGCGAGATCTTCTTCATGACAAAAATTCCTTAATTTCATCACGTGGTTCTTCGACTTCTTTTCGAATGATATATCCAGTCTTGATTTGTAAGTGCGCCCTTTCCGACTGAGTGTTCCATTGATTCTTAAGCCTTGTCTTCAACATAGTTCATGTGTTCTTTTTTAATTGTTTTTTCTGGCTAATATGGGAGGCGGTATGATTATTGTCTCGCACCTTGGGACCTCTATGGTACTACTCTATGCCCAAAATAAGTGCTAATATATCCTTTTCCAAATGAATTTGAAAGCCATTGTTATTTTCAATATTATATTCATGGTAGCTAATCTGCAATAATCATATTTAATTATATCAGGATGCTATTTATTTTGCATCAAGTTGCAAACAGTTATGCAACTTGCCAAATAGAAGGTTCGAATCCTTGATTTACTCCTTGAATTCCAGTTCCATAAAAGTGTTGTTATTAGATTTTCCTTAATGTTTAATGTTGATAACGTTAGATTCTTTACCAGTCTATCTAGCTATTCAAGCTGAAACAAGTTGTTTGATTATTTAAAACTAGAAAAAAACTTTTTAAAATGCAATGGAGCTAATATTGTAGAAAACGGTTGATTAATTGATTATGTTTTGTCAATCATGTGGTTAAAATATCCTAATTATTTATTTATTTCAAACGGCAGGCATTTTGATAGTTA